TGATTATTAAGAGAACTCTGATTAATTGCAGCCAGTGTATATGATGACGTAACTGAAAAAACTAGAAAGGTAGATGGGGGAAAACAGCAGCTACTGGGCCCAGGCAGGGAGCTTGGCTGCCTGTCAGGACAGGGAAACCGGCCAGGTAGCTGAACTATCTCTGAAAGCCAGGGTTGAGTTGGCGTCCCTCCATTCTAGGCTGGCATGTAAGCAGATCTGTTGGCTCTGTTTCTTCCCCTAAACAGGTTGGTTTTCAGAAGATCCTGACACTGACGTATGTAGACAAATTGATAGATGACGTGCACCGGCTGTTTCGGGACAAGTACCGCACGGAGATCCAACAGCAAAGTGCTTTGAGTTTATTAAATGGCACTTTTGATTTCCAAAATGACTTCCTGCGGCTCCTTCGGTGAGAGGCCTGCCTTCTCTAAAATCAGTTTATTTCCCTGATTTGATGGTCTCTCTGAAGGTGGTTCAAGGGTGGTAAATTGGTGTGTTCAAAGACATTCCTAATTGCTCCCCAGTTCTCATTGTCCTCTTGGGTGTGAGAGTCTTTTCTCTGGACTGTTATTTTTCCTCCTGCACGGGGTAGACAGATAAACCATTCTCTTTTTTTGTTTAGTGAAGCAGAGGAGAGCAGTAAGATCCGAGCTCCCACTACCATGAAGAAATTTGAAGATTCTGAAAAGGCCAAGAAACCTGTGAGGTCCATGATTGAGACACGCGGGGAAAAGCCCAAGGAAAAAGCAAAGAATAGCAAAAAAAAGGGGGCCAAGAAGGAAGGCGAGTTTGAGTTCTTTGGATACACTGGGACATGAAAGGTGTTAAGACGGTGCTAAGGACTGAGGTGTTCCTTCCTTCTGTCATTGTTTGCCTCCTTCTCACTCAAATGCTCACCATCCTATAATCCCCAGGCCTTGTGAACTCCAAGATGTTTGGTCCAAATTTCCTTTGAACAATTTGGAAGACTTTTAGCCATTGTCTAGTGGTTGAGATTGTCTTTTTTTTCCTTCAGTGAGTTTTTTCCCAACAGGTTCGGATGGTCCTTTGGCTACCAGCAAAGCCGTCCCTGCAGAAAAGTCAGGTCTTCCAGTGGGTCCTGAGAACGGAGTAGAACTTTCCAAAGAGGAGCTGATCCGCAGGAAGCGAGAGGAGTTCATTCAGAAGCATGGGAGGGGTATGGAGAAGTCCAAGTGAGCACTCTTTCTTCAGTACTCTCAAAATACTGTTATCTAGACATGATGGGTGCAAGGGAGTTCTGGTCTCCGGCTCATGTTTCCTTTCCTGCTTCTCTACCATAACCTGTTGCAGCAAGTCCACGAAGTCAGATGCTCCAAAGGAGAAGGGCAAAAAAGCACCCCGGGTGTGGGAACTGGGTGGCTGTGCTAACAAAGAAGTGTTGGATTACAGTACTCCCACTACCAATGGAAGCCCTGAGGCTGCCTTGTCTGAGGACATCAACTTGGTAAGAGGCAAACAGGGGTCAAAGTGAAGGTTATCTTTAATAACAAATTGGGAGGAAGTAGAGTGTGGGAACATGATACTTGGATTTGAATGAGGGGGTAAGTTATACTTGGAGCTTCCCCAAATGAAAGAGATAGAGCAATGTGGACTTTTTCCTCAGAGACCTTAGTATTTCTGACCCCATCTCCTTTCCCTGTATCTTCCAGATTCGAGGGACTGGGCCTGGGGGGCAGCTTCAGGATCTGGACTGCAGCAGCTCTGATGATGAAGGGGCTGCTCAAAACTCCACCAAGCCTAGGTAGGGAGATTTCAGGTGGGGGGTGGCATATGCATCTGCAAAACGGGTAAGATACAACTCCCACCTACTGGTTCTATGTGTATTTGTCATCTCCTGTCCCTGCAGTGCGACCAAGGGAACGCTGGGTGGCATGTTTGGTATGCTGAAGGGCCTTGTGGGTTCAAAGAGCTTGAGTCGTGAAGACATGGAATCTGTGCTGGACAAGATGCGTGATCATCTCATTGGTAAGCTCTGAGGACCGGGCTGACTCCTGTTCACAGGATACGGGTAATTGAGAGCAGACTCACCTAGCGTTTCTCACCTGTACCATAGAGACTGGTTGTTGCTGACATGGAACTGACCTACCTGTCCCCCTCCTCAGCTAAGAACGTGGCTGCAGACATTGCCGTCCAGCTCTGTGAATCTGTTGCCAACAAGCTGGAAGGGAAGGTGATGGGCACGTTCAGCAGTAAGTACTGCCCTAAGTGAGAAAGTGCTTATGTGTACCAAGAGGTTAAGTGCATAGACCTCCGTTCTTACGAGGTATGTGACTTTTGGCAAAATCCTTAACCTCTAAACCTCTGTAACCTAGATTTTAAGGGTTATTGAGAGGATTAAATGAGTTAGTCCTTGTAATGTGCGTCTGTTCTAGATTTCTGGGAAAAGAGTCTAGTTAACTGTCTTAGTCCCCTTAGCTCAGAAAGGTGTTAGGCATTTTTGAGAGCATTCTTTACACAGCTGCAAACCTCCTCCACCTCCTCTTTCAGCGGTGACTTCCACAGTAAAGCAAGCCCTACAGGAGTCCCTGGTACAGATTCTGCAGCCACAGCGTCGTGTAGACATGCTCCGCGACATCATGGACGCCCAGCGTCGCCAGCGCCCTTACGTCGTCACCTTCTGTGGTGTTAATGGAGTGGGGAAATCTACTAATCTTGCCAAGGTCAGTGCAGTTCCCCAACCTGTTGCTGATATTTCTGCACTTCTCGTGTCTCAAAATCCTGGCTTTAGGTGACTTTTCTCACTTCTTTTTCACAGATTTCCTTCTGGTTGTTAGAGAATGGCTTCAGTGTCCTCATTGCTGCCTGTGATACATTTCGTGCTGGGGCTGTGGAGCAGCTGCGTACACACACCCGGCGTTTGAGTGCCCTACACCCTCCAGAGAAGCATGGTGGCCGCACCATGGTGCAGTTGTTTGAAAAGGGCTATGGCAAGGATGCTGCTGGCATTGCTATGGAAGCCATTGCTTTTGGTACAGTGCACGGGAAGTCTGGGGGCTTATTTGGGGTCCCTTTTCCTCCTTTGGTTCTCTTGGAATTTGCATATCAGGCTTGTGCTACTACAGACTCGTTAATTACAGTAAAAAGTCAGATCAGTTACCTGCCATGCTCTGCTTTTGGGTAATAGATATAGTTGCAGGCAAAGTTAATATACCCTAACCAAAGAAGCCTGAATTTGGTCACCTTTATCCTGTTATCCTCCTTTTCCTGAATATGTTTGGTGATGGCCAAGCATACAATCAGGTTTTTCTCACGTTACCTTGGAACCAAATCCAGGGCCCAAGACAGTGAACAGGCAGCCAAACTAGGATTTTTTGAAAGGAAGCTGGGAATGAGATTAGTTGTAGTCCAGGTTTTCAGAGTTGACCACTTTCTTTCTTTAGCACGTAACCAAGGCTTTGATGTGGTGCTGGTGGACACGGCGGGCCGCATGCAAGACAATGCCCCTCTGATGACTGCCCTGGCCAAACTCATTACTGTCAATACGCCTGACTTGGTGCTGTTTGTAGGAGAAGCCTTAGTAGGCAATGAAGCCGTGGACCAGCTGGTGAGAGTGTGGGCCCAGTTCCCTTTACAACTTAAGCTTTAGCCAATTTAGATAGTTCTTACACTTCTATCACCTTTTTTCTTTCCAGGTCAAGTTCAATAGAGCCTTGGCTGACCATTCTATGGCTCAGACACCTCGGCTCATTGATGGCATTGTTCTTACCAAATTTGATACCATCGATGACAAGGTAAACGTGGCACTGGAGGGTGGAATGGGCATCCTCCACAAAGGAGCTGAGGCTGCGAGGAAACCTTGGCTCCAGCGCTTCCTGTTCCTGAGAGGGTGAGTGAAGAGTGGGCTCGTGTTGATTGGCTGTCCCCTTTCTCCACTTAGGTGGGAGCTGCTATTTCTATGACGTACATCACAAGCAAACCCATCGTCTTTGTGGGCACCGGCCAGACCTACTGTGACCTACGCAGCCTCAATGCCAAGGCTGTGGTGGCTGCCCTCATGAAGGCTTAACGTGGCTCTTGCCCAATACCAAATCGCCGCTTTCCCCACAAGCCCTTCTTCCTGTATCAAGAATGTGCTTTAGAGTATGTGAGCGACTTGTCTTCAGTGTAGTACAAAGGCAGAGCGAGGGGGCTTGTGGCTCCTTCCAACCCCATTCAGCACAGCCGCCATCTGCAAGGAGGGCCTAATCATGTTACAATCACTGCCCACTGACCCTCTCCCAGCAGGTCTCCCCCTTCCTACTCAGGCACCCCCTTCACTCTGCCTACAGACTCAGTCTCATTACAGCTTTGACCAATGGTTGGAACCCAACACCAGAGCTTTGCTAATAATTGGTGTGGTCAGGAGCCGTCTGAGCCTAATGAGTCCCAGCTGCATTAGGTTAAGAGACTCTTCCAGAGCCAGCGCCAGGTCTTGAATGGCACCTCTCCCTAGGATACACAGCCTGCAGGTCCCGAGGACCTGGATGACACCCGCCTCACTGTGGCAGTGTATTGCCTGTTAATTGCTGCTAATTCTAATTCTGATGATGATTCCTACTTCATTGTTTACCCCAAAGCATCAGCTAGGCTGGAGTGATTTGTTACAAATGAGCAAAAGATGAGTCCCTGCTTCCCTCAGAAATAAAGGGAGGTGAGCTGCAGGGTTGCATTGGGCTTCTCGGCCTCCCAACTCTTCCCATTCCCAGAATCCAGAAGTCAGCTTTGCATGTTCCCCTTCCTGGGAGGAAACCAGTTGTCAGAAGGGTATATGTTGCCGCCTCCCCTCCCATCCTCCTAAGCAGTCCTGGCTTTTCCTCATCACTCCCCTCTACAGTGCCTGGTAGACAAGTGCTACGTTGAAGAATACAAACCTCTTGTTAAGACTTGTCCTGTAGCTTGATATTACAGATGTGCTATTAGTGCAATAAGGTGAAGGCTGTCTGCCCAGAGAAATAAGTAATTTATATAAGAAAATAAATTTCATAAATAAATTGCCTTTTAGGTCTTGGAGTTCTTTTATACAGGATTCAAAACTAAAATTCCACAACACACTAACTATAGTTCTAGGGCTTATATATGGTCAGGACAACAGAGCAGAAGTTTACTCCAAGGAATCAGGTAAGTAAACGGTTGTCCTAAGAATGAGATCACCCCAAGGTGAAAGATCAGAACGTTTAAAATTGGGTTAAAATTAAGCTTATTAGTTAGTGCCTTGATGCAAGTTCGAGTTTTCTACAATGACTCTCAAAGTAGAGCCAGGGTCCTGGCAAGTAAATGAACAAGCTTTTAATACAGCTCAGTTATGTAAAATACTGTACACTGTAAAAGATCTAGAAAACTAGAGCTTCAAGTCATGTTTTAAAAAAGCCATTAAGCTTAATTGAAAAACCAAGTATAGAGTACAAAACTGCAACAAGAGCCACGGTGATTCCATGGCATCTAGACCCCGAGTCCATGCAGAGCTGCAGCCAGTCAGTGGAGGTATCACATTGGTGTGCTGTGTGGACACAAGCATGTCCAGCCTGGGGATTGGGTCAGGAGCTGCATTTGGGTCCTGCTGTCACTTTTATTCTTGAACAGGCAGCAGAATATCAAGAACCAGGTGGTATGAAGGATTACGCTGGAACATTCCCCCCTCTTCTACCCCGCCCTTCAACCTCTGGCCATTGTTACTTTCTGGGAGTTGTGTTGGGTTCTTGTAAGTTTATTTGTTAAACACTGTCCGTGGTAGGGCCTTACAGCTTGGTCTAACGGTGGTGATTTCTCTAGCTCGCTCATGTGCTACAGCCTGTGGGGAGAAAGAAAAGAGAACAAAATGAAGTTTCACAAAACAGGTTTATGCATTGGAAGCTGCAGATACTTAAGTCAATCCTAACCCTTTAGAAGGCAAGACAGGAGATGCTAGGAATCTTGTAATTTATTTAAAATTTTATTTACTTTTTAGAGACAAGGTCTTTCTCTGTCATCCAGGTTCAAGTACAGTGGCACAATCATAGCTCACCGGGCTCAAGCAATCCTCCCACCTCGGCCTCCTGAGTAGCTGGGACTGCAGCGCACACCACGACACCTGGCAGTGTTTTGTTTTTGTTTTTGTTTTTTTATTTTTTGTAGAAACGACATCTAGCTATGTTGCTCAGGCTGGTCTCAAACTCCTGGGCTCAAGCAATCCTCCCACCTTGGCCTCCTGTATTGCTGAGATTACAGGCCTGAGTCATCACACCCAGCAGTACTTTAAAAATTAACTGATCGGCCGGGCGCGGTGGCTCAAGCCTGTAATCCCAGCACTTTGGGAGGCCGAGACGAGCGGATCACGAGGTCAGGAGATTGAGACCATCCTGGCGAACATGGTGAAACCCCGTCTCTACTAAAAAAATACAAAAAACTAGCCGGGCGTGGTGGCGGGCGCCTGTAGTCCCAGCTACTCGGGAGGCTGAGGCAGGAGAATGGCGTGAACCCGGGAGGCGGAGCTTCCTGTGAGCTGAGATCCGGCCACTGCACTCCAGCCTGGGCGACAGAGCGAGACTCCGTCTCAAAAAAAAAAAAAAATTAACTGATCATTTCACTACTTGACAGGAAAAGATAGAATCGTTAATGAGTAGGAGAGGAAAATCATTCTCTATAGTGTTTTTTTAAATTTGGCAATGTGAGGTTCAAAGTAACATTCTCTCTAGTCTTAACCAAGGACCTAGAAAGGCTTTCTGCTACAGAGTGATAAATAGTAGAATAGGAAACAGTATACCTCTTATTTCACTGTGTGCTGCAGATGAGCCATTTAGCTGACCTTCTCTCACCATCCCTGCTAAACAGAGGACATCAGCATCAGACATTAGACTGAAAAGCTAAAACTATTAATAGCAAAAAGAAAACTAAAGAGATGAGGATATATGGTATGACTGAAATGGATGGCATTTAGAAATGAAACAATCATTGAGAAGGAGGCAGAGGGTAAACTGGAGTAGTCTTTAGACTTGTATTACGTAACAGGGAAGCAGTGAGTTTCCACAGTGCACTATGATTGCTTGTAGACAAAACATTTTATATACAGGGAACAGTGTCTGCTGTCCCTAAACAGTCTAGAGGACCAAGTTCAGGTAAAAATTCAATCTCACCACGGATGGGCAAATGGCATGTGAGTGAGCAAATTCAAACAGAAGAGTGAAAAGTAGCAGAATACTCCCACAATATAAAATACGGTAGCACTAGCCATATGCAGCTACTTAGTTTCAAATTAAAAATTTATTTCCTCAGTCACGCCACATTTCAACGGCGCAACAGCCACATGTGGCTCCTAACTATGATGCTGAACAGTGACGATTATACAGTATTGTTATGACTGCAGAAAATTCTATTGGATAACACTGGCACAGATCATAGTTCGGAAAAAGTAAAAAACTGAACACATGGAAGAAAATAGTCATTAGAAATATGGTCAATTAGAGTATAAACAGGCATGATACTCAAATATACTCATTGGTATTACCCTCATAGAAAGCAATTTAGCAATATATATCAATTACTGAAATGTTCCTGATCTTTGACCTGATTACACTGAGAACTCATCAAGGAAATTATTGGAAAAACTGAAGGGATACAGATGTTATTTTCACAACATGACTTACAAAAAACTGGCAAAAAAAAAAAAAAAAAAAAAAGATCAGACATTGCCTAACAGGAATAATTAGGTAAACTGTAACAACCCTACCAGAATATAAAAGTCAATTAAAATAGTGGTTATGAAGACAGGGATGTGGGAAAATGTATGATCCACTACTAAATTTTAAAAGGACCGGAACTGTATATTTTGTTTACAACTATGAAAAAATGCACAGGGAAAACTTCATCAGAGATGTACCAAGGCCAGGTGCCGTGGCTCACACCTGTAATCCCAGAACTTTAGCAGGCTGAGGTGGGAGGACTGACTGAGCTTAGGAGACTGAGAACAGCCTGGGTAACATGGTGAAACCCCATCTCTACAAAAAATACAAAATTTAGCTGGGCATCATGGTATGTGCCTTTTAGTCTCAGCTACTTGGAAGGCTGAGGTAGGAGGATCACTTGAGCCCTGGGGAGGTCAAAGCGGTGGTAAGCCATGAATGTGCCACTGCACTGCAGCCTGGGTGAAAGAGCAAGACCCTGTATCAAAAAGAAATAATAATATCAAAATAATAAAAATAAAAAGGGTTGGGCATGGTGGCTCACGCCTGTAATCCCAGCACTTTGGGAGGCCAAGGCGGGTGGATCATCAGGTCAGGAGATGGAGACCATCCTGGCCAACATGGTGGAACCCCAGCTCTACTAAAAATACAAAAAATTAGCTGGGCATGATGGCACACACCTGTAGTTCCAGCTACTCAGGAGGCTGAGGCAGGAGAACCACTGAGCTGAGATCGCACCACTGCACTCCAACCTGGTGTCAGCGCAAGACTCCATCTCAAAAAAAAAAAAAAAAAAAAAAGTACCAAAACGATTGCTTGTATGGTAATGGATTATATGAATTATTTTTCTTTTTCCCATTGCTTGATTTTTCTAAAATATGCATAACTACATGCTACAGAATCCTCTGAGGACAATTAATATCCACTATGCAAAAGTGAGTATACAACACGATGCCAGGCACATAGCAAACACTCAGTGTTAAAAAACAAAACAACAAAAGACCTGTAAACTCTTATTAGTCTATATCTACAGAGACTCGAAACATTATGCAAGGGTGAAAGATAAGGTTGGCTTGTTTCAAAATGAAATGATGTTTTCACCTGAAACTGCTCTACTGCATTTCACGTGACAAACTCAGCTGACCATTCCCATCCAGCACTCCGGCCGTACTGAAAATCCGATTGTTTTGAAAGATACAGAACACCTTAATGACAGGTAACTTTGGGGAAAGCTACTCTGAAGGGAAGCCTACACAGCTAATAACAGAATTTGTGCCATTCCACAATAGCAGTTAAGGTTCCTTAGAGCAATCTTAGTGCACTAAGGAACCTGACTGATTCTTTGCTATGTAATGCAACAGTCTAACGACATATTTTTTTTTTTTTGCTAAGATTTAGTGCAACAGAAACAGTTATCCAGAGGGATTTTGCTGTTTTAAATTTTAGCATCTTTCCTCAGCATACAGATCAAAAGAAATATGTAGAACTTGGATATGTATCTCTTGCTAATGAAAACAGAATATATGCAACAGAAAAGCCTACTCAAAGTCTCAAGTGTGGGCAAACAACAGCAGAAGAGTCTAGAACACTGCAGGACACCAGAAAAACTCATTTCCAACAAGGAATAGTAAATAGTTTTCACAAATGAGACTTGTTCACGTGGTGATGGCTTTTAAAAGTCTGGTTCCATCAAAGCACAGCCATGGAAGAAGCTGTATAATTTTTCATTACAGGAGAATTCTTTCTACTTGAAGCCATCTGATTCAGTTAAGAAATCTGGGGATGATTTGATTTAGGAAAACTGCTTTTTTGTTTATTAAATTACCTGTATGTTATTTATTTTTAAAACGGGGTCTTGCTTTCTTGCTCAGACTAGTGCAGTGATGCAATCACAGCTCACTGCAGACTCCAACTCCTGGGCTCAAGTGATCCTCCTGCCTCAGCCTCCCAAACAACTGGATTACAGGTGTGTGCCACCACACCTGGCTAATTTTTTGCAGAGACAGGGTCTCACTATGTTGCTCACACTCATCTTCAACTCCTGGCCTCAAGTGACCCTCCCACCTGGGCCTCCCAAAGTGTTGGGATTACAGGCCAAATTACCTGTACTTTTGCCCTCCTAAGATGCATTCAGGTTGACAATGAAAATACATAAGTTTTCAGGAAATATTTTGTGTACAACAGCAAAGTTTTTTCAGAATTAGATGGATGAGTAAAACTAGCCACACTCTGGAGCCTGGCAATGTGAGGTTTTGAAAAAGCATTCTTCAGTTTAGCTGATACCAAAAATGTCTGTGTTTTGTGCGGTTACTGGGAATTTGCCTGCAGCCACTAATCAGCTGAATCTTTAATCACCATTTTGCTCTTTATTGTTAGAATGTGGAGGTAAAATATCAAGTGAATGATACCTCTATCCTCTGACTTGAATACCATTATCCGTTTCCAAACAGCATTTCTAAAAGTTAGTTTTCTGTTTGTAAAGATAATACATAATCATCATAGAAAATGCCAACACAGAAACCAAAAAAACAACACTTTAAATCATACTACATAAAGATAGCCACTTAATTTAGAAAACATTCCAGATATATTTCTATACGCACCAAAAAAAACCCAAAAACTGTACAATTCTATATGAGTGTAGGTGACAGCGGTGTTTACAACCTGCTTTTTCTTCCTTTACCCATATGTCTCTTTTTTTTTAATGGCAATGAAAACATTTTCCCTTTTATGGCTTCATTGTATTTCATCAGTTAAATAAATACTGGGATATCTGTAGAATCTCTCTACTAATTTTATGTTCTTTCCAATTTTTTGCCACTACATTCAATGGAGATTACATTCCCACACATGCATCTTTGTACAATTGTGACTGTGCAATCATCCAATTATATCCTATGAGAAATTTCTTCTAGGACAAATTGTTTTGATGGGATTTCTGGGTCAAAGATTTGAAAATGTTTATTACATCCTCTAAATTTATGGTTATAAAGGTTGTACTAACTTTACCTTTCCACAAATACTCCATGAATGAATTTATTTTCTACAGCCTTAGCCAAAACGGAGTGATCTTTCTTCTCTATTTTGTGATCTAAATTCGAACTGCATTTCATTGATAACTAGTGAGGCTGAACATCTATTTTCTTCAATTTTCCTATGTCTATATTGAACGGCTCGAGCATTCCTTTTTGTCTGTTTTCCCATAATCCAAATAGCACTTTAGTCTAACCTGAAGACTGTGGCCTCCTTTATAATTTGGTCAGTCATTACATTCCTCATCTTGGCAACTATTTTGCCCATCACAAATACACCAACGGCTGAAGAGCTGTTGTTCTCTGATTCCCCTCAGCTTCAAAATGCATCTTACCTGATCTACCCCTTGTGGAGATCTCACATGTCAGTCGCTTGAAATATTCTGGAAGATCGGCATAGTCATTTCCATAGGAGATGACTTTAATCCCCTTGTCCAGCATGTTTTCTCGAAGCTTTTTGAACTCATCTACGTCTCCTCTCCGAACCAGCATGAAATGTTCTAGGTCAGATTTATGCTTGACAGCCTCCAGGAAAAGGGCCTGGAAAGTGGTGTCATCCACAGTCCAGCCACAGCCCAGGAAGAGAAATGACTTGTTTTCGTAAAGTTTCTGAATCTCTCTCTTGAAGGAAAAGATACAACATATTGACATTGCGAAGAGACACTCAAGGCAGGTATGAACCAAGAAGGTCATGCGACATTGAGCAGACTATAATGACCAATTAACCAAGACTTACATGTCCCATCAAGGAGTGGGATCTGTCGCTTATTGCTGTAACTTGATGATTGGTCTAAAATTTTATCTTTACCTGGCATTCTTCTGTAGGCTCTCTAATAAAGGTTTCATAGAGCTGGTGTCAGTGTACTGGTCCAGTAGTTTGTTTATTTTTTACATTTTATATATTTTTTGAGACAGAGTCTCACTGTCACCTAGGCTAGAGTGTAGTGGTGCGATCTCGGCTTACTGCAACCTCCACCTCTCCAGTTCAAGTGATTCTCGTGCCTCAGCCTCCTGAGTATATTACAGGTGTGCACCACCACACCCAGCTAATTTTTGTATGTTTAGTAGAGATGGGGTTTTGCCATGTTGGTCAGGCTGGTCTGGCACTCCTGACCTCAAGTGATCCATCTGCCTTGGCCTCCCAAAGTGCTGGAATTACAGGTGTGAGCCACTGCACCCGGCCACAAGTTTACTTTTTTAATTTTTATTTCATTTCTGAGACACAGTCTTGCTTTGCTACCTAGGCTGGAGTGTAGTGGCATGGTCTTGGCTCACTGCAACCTCCTCTGCCTCCCAGGTTCAAGCGATTCTCCTGCCTCAGACTCCCAAGTAGCTGGGATTACAGGGACCCACCACCATGCCCAGCTAATTTTTCTATTTTTAGTAGAAACAGGGTCTTACCATGTTGGCCAGGCTGGTCTTGAACTCCTGACCTCAAGTGATCTGCCCACCTTGGCCTCCCAAAGTGCTGGGATTACAGGCGTACTTTTTAAGATTTCTGTGCCCAGAGGTCATTAGGTAAAGAGGTCTTCATATATCTTAATCCTTCCATTTCTGGACCATATTTGCCTTTTTTTGTCTTACAAACTGAACTGTGAGTCACCAGAGAAGATAATTCCATCATCAGATTTGCTCAAGGAAAGGCGTTTGATATTTAGAACATCAGTATGTGTGTGTGTATATTTATACACACCAAAAAAACACAGAAATGACTCTGCCTAAGGGATCACTCGGTATCAGAGATGGCTGCGGTTACGGCAGATGTTGGGAAAGAATGGGTAAAAAAAAAAAAAAAAAAGTCCCTTGTGCTTCAGACCATACGTTTTCTTGGTCTTTAGCCTTATTGTTTAAAGATGCTATATTCTATGTGACACAGTCCTGAAAATAGCAAACAAGATTCTTAGAGCTAGGGGACAGTGAATACTTCTGGTTTGAACATGTTTATCTGAACAAGTCGAAAATGTGCATCACAGAAGATCAATAAGCTTTCCACAAAGAGTAAGTGTGAATGAGTGTGGTTAATTCAATATAAGCCCACTGCCATTTATACAAAGTCTCTTTAGAATGTATTCTCTAGTAGTGGTTGGTTTGTGAGAAGCTGCCTCAATTATTTCTGACATAGAGAGGGCTATTAATAAACCAAATGATGATAAAGGTACCAATGTATCCTTTGTATGTGAAGATGATGCCAATGATGGCATGCCATCTGCTGGCTGTCAATTAAGTACAAACAAGGATCATAGGGTTTGATACCTTAAGAAAAGTTCTACATCTCCTACAACAGCATGCACACTGACAAGTTAAAAAGCACAGGAAAAATGTCTGACTTTCCAGTTTCTTTCTTTTTTTAGAGATAGGGTCGGGCTCTGTCACCCAAGCTGGAGTGCAGTGGCTCTAGATACCACTCACTACAGCCTTATATTCCTAGTCTCAAGTGATCTTCTTGCCTCAGCCTCCCAAGTAGTTGGGACAGCATGCACCATGATGCCTAGCTAATTTTATTTTTGTAAAGACAGTCTTGCTATGTTGCCCAGGCTGGTCTCAAACTCCTGGCCTCAGGCGATTCTCTCCCCTTGGCCTCCCAAAGTGTTGGGATTATAGGCACGGGCCACTGCTCCTAGCCCCTGACCTTCCGTTGTCACTTAATGAAAAGAAGATGTTTCCCTTTAAGGCCTATGGCATATTTAGAGAGATTTCCCAGGAAGGAGTTCCTGAGACCAGCAAGATCGGCCCCACTCACCATGACTTCAGTATTCCTGAGCACATTCTGATATCCAGCTGGATGAAGGACAATGCCACTAGGGTTCGTGTAGACTCCATGAATATGCAACACGCTCAGTTTCCGCTTCTCCTGAGCCCACTCTAGGACCTGCACGACACACACATAGCCCAACCAGCTTGGCAGGGCTGGGTACCTGTTTAAAGGTCACACAATGGGCAAGAGGCTGTTTGGAGGACTAGACTTCCGACATAAACTCTCTAGCTTCATGATCTAGGACACGAATGCAAAACCTGATGTGGTCTGTTTCCACTTCAGGAATGACTGTCGAGAATGACGGCAGCAAATTTGGTGATTTCTCTTTGAAAGTAACCATCAAAAATTACAATTTGTTATAATTTGCAGACACAACAGGGACCCTTTGTACTGGTGACATGCATGAGAGCTATGGACAACTACTTCAGTGATCGCCCCAAGAAATCAAGCCTCTGCATCCAGGCCCTTGTGTGGCTCCTCTTCGGAGTGACTCCAGGCTAACCACATGGCTTGCTTTTAGCCAGTGGGATACTAGCAAACACACACAAGCAGAAGCTTGATAAGTGTTGGCACAAGAAGTCTTACTTCTCTTGTGTTACTTTTGGAATCCAGCTGTCATGTGAAGAAACTGAAGAAGCCTGGGCTAGCCTGTTAGGACATATGTGGCCTGGCCAACTGCTTGCATTGACAGACATGGAATTATGGTCCCCTTATATCACTCAGCCCTGGTGCGGCCATCAGATGTCTGCAGGTATGTCAAGAGGCTGCAAAAATCAGCAGAAGAAATGCCCAGCTGAGTCACTGAGCCCAGTTCAAATTGTTAATGTACTTTATCATGGGCAGACAAGATATTTGTTGTTATAAGCCACAAAGTTTCAGGGCCATTACTTGTACAGCAATAGATAAGTGATAGAAAAATCACTTCAGTCACCTCTGAGGAACCTAAAAGGCTGCCAGTGAAGAACAATCATGTAGACGACAGTGAATGCAATAGCCACCTGATTCCATGGCTCCATTTTCCCAAGGACTGGAGAAAGCATACATTATCCTTATCACCTTTTGGAGAAATGGGCTATGAATCAGGCAAGTAGTCAAGAGGCACAGAGATTTAGAATTTGAATGTTACTAGGCCCCATTCTGACTACTAGTCAATGTCTTTAACCATTAGACTGCAACACTGCCCCTAATGTGGGCTGAAAATACAATGCAAATCTTGAGGCCCAAGGATGAAATGAGAAGGAAAACATCAAATGTGATAGATATCCTCAGCTTTTAAAAGGTCCTTATGCTTCTGATATCCATGCACATACTTGGTCATAATCTTTGGAAATTTTATCACAAACAGCATAGAAGCTACTTGAGCTGCTAGTTTTAAAATTTCAATCATGTGTGTGTTTGTTTATTTTTAGACAGAGTCTTGGTCTGTCGCCCAGGCTGGAGTGCAGTGGTGCAATCTTGGCTCACTGCAACCTCTGCCTCCTGGGTTCAAGCGATTCTCCTGCCTCAGCCTCCTGAGTAACTGGGATTACAGGTGTGCACCACCATTCCCAGCTAGTTATTGTATTTTTAGTAGAGACAGGGTTTCACCATGTTGGACAGCCTAGTCTCAAATTCCTGACCTCAAGTGATCCACCCACCTCGGCCGCCCAAAGTGCTGGGATTACAGGCGTGAGCCACTGTGCCCAGCCTATTTATTTATTTTTGAGACATGATTTTACACTGTCACCCAGGCTGGAGTGCAAGAGTGCGATCACAACTCACTGTAGCCTCGACCTCCTCAGCTCAACTGATCCTCCTGCTTCAGCCTCCCAAGCAGCTGGGACCACAGGCAAACACCACCATGCCCAGCTAATTTTTAAATTTTTTGTAGAGATGGGGTCTTGCTATGTTGCCCAGGCTCATCTCGAACTAGGCTCAGGTGACCCTCCCATCTCAGCTTCCCAAAGTGCTGGGGTTATAGGCCTGAGCCGCTGTGCCCAGCCTAATCATTTATTAATCAAAAAAATATTTACCAAGCACCTAACTCTGTCATATTTGAGACATGAGGGTTTTATCTGAGCTATGAGGGTAAGAAAGACTAACATGATACCTGTCCAAGTGAAGTTACTATTCCTATGGGGTAAACAGTCAGAAAACAGATAAACGGCCAAGATAAAAACTGTGCTGGGCATGGTGGCTCACGCCTGTAATCCCAGCGTTTCGGAAGGCCAAGGTGGGCAGATCACCTGAGGTCAGGAGCTCGAGACCAGCCTGGCCAAAATGATGAAACTCCGTCTCTACTGAAAATACAAAAATTAGCCAGGCGTGGTGGCAGATGCCTGTAATCCCAGCTATTCGGGAGGTGAGGCAGGAGAATCGCTTGAACCCGGGAGGAGGAGGTTGCAGTGAGTTGAGATCACGCCATTGCACTCTAGCCTGGGCGACAAGAGCAAAATTCCACCTCAAAAAAAAAAAAAAAAAAAAGGCCAGGCACATGCCTGTAATCCCAGTACTTTGGGAGGCTGAGATCAGCAGATCACCTGAGGTCGGGAGTTTGAGACCAGCCTGACCAACATGGAGAAACCCCGTCTCTACCAAAAATATAAAATTAGCCGGGAGTGATGGCACATGCCTGTAATCCCAGCTACTCGGGAGGGGGAGGCAGGAGAATCGCTTGAACCTGGGACGAGAGCGAAACTATCTCAAAAAACAAAATGAAACAAAACAAAACAAAAAACCAAAAAGCTACAAGTTATAGTAAGCGCTACAAAGGAAATGGACAAGAGACTGGATCAAAAACTAAGTATCCAATTTAAATAGGATGGTCAGAGAAGGTCTCTCAGGAGGGGATCCCTAGGTTGAGAGTTACAAATGAAGAAGGAGCTGACCATGTGGAATATGAGGGAGTAAGCGGAAGACACTTGGGCCAGAAAGAACTAGTCTTCATGGGGCAACTTTTCTCTAAATTCAGTTCCCTTTAAGTCCTGCCATCAAGGTCAGCAAAACCACAAGAGCGGTATTACAGCCACCACTCTGGCAGGGGCAATACTGTAGTACTGAATGCCAGCGGGCAAATCACTCTTCTATTCAGCTCTACTTAGTTGGGCTCTAAATCGGACATAAAGGCAGTTCCTGAGGAAAACAAAGTGTAGAAAAAAATTACAAAAATCACAGAGTAGGACAAATGAGACTTTAAGAACTCATCTCATTAGCTGACACAGATCAACATCTGTAGTTCAATAATTACGGTAGGTACAGTACAGACTATGCTAAAACAAAGTCTGCTGTGGTTTTCACTAAACATTAACCTCAATTCAGCCATCACTTGGCCTGGAAGTTGTTCTTCCAATCAGTATAAAGTAGTTTTCATACATTTCCAATAGATGCCATAAAAAAAAGTATACGAAAACAGAACCGGCATTATCAATATTACACCACTCAATATTGTCGAGTGCTAAAAAGATCTTACAGTTCAAATGACTTCCACTAATCTTGCTTTAAAACTGGGTGGAATTGTCAAAAGTCATAGAACTGAACACTTTTTAAGTGGTATACATTTTTTTTTTTTTTTTGAGGCGGAGTTTCGCTCTGTCGCCCAGGCTGGAGTGCAGTGGCCGGATCTCAGCTCACTGCAAGCTCCGCCTCCCGGGTTCACGCCATTCTCCTGCCTCAGCCTCCCGAGTAGCTGGGACTACAGGCGCCCGCCACCTCGCCCGGCTAGATTTTTGTATTTTTTAGTAGAGACGGGGTTTCACCGGGTTAGCCAGGATGGTCTCGATCTCCTGACCTCGTGATCCGCCCGTCTCGGCCTCCCAAAGTGCTGGGATTACAGGCTTGAGCCACCGCGCCCGGCCAAGTGGTATACATTTTACTGTATATTGATTTGATCTTTAAAAAGAAAAGAAAGAAAAACAAAAAATCCAACCAGGGAAAAAAATTTTCCTTTCTAGCTCTACATGAATACCAATATGCCAAGCAGAAAACAGCTTTTCTGATGAAGATACAATCCACTAGCCTGAAGAAAGGACCAATGCTTTACTTTTTACCTTTTTCTCATCAGTAAGGTCAAGGGATTCAAGCTGTTTCCCCTGATCTGCTGCATACAGTTCCAGGAGATTATCAAAATTTGTAGTTAATACAAGGGCTCCATTTTCCATCAGGTGGAGAACTGACTGAAGTAACTGTTTTCCAGACTCTTCCATCTTTGACTCCAAGTCATCAAATACTTCATATAAACAGTCCTTGAAAAATGTGGATCGAACATTACTGGTACGCTGAGGAGGGATTTGAAAAAAGAAAATTAGTCCAAGGTGCTTTGGTAGGTCAGTTGTTTTAGTTACAGCAGTAACAAATTTTTGAAGAATATTTTGGATTCAAAACAGAGATAAAATATTATCTATCTCATAAGAACGTAATGAGATGATACTTGCCAAGTGCTTAGCACCATGCTTAGCACATAGCAAGTGCTACTATACTTATGCAAACAAGCGTAACCTTCCTAAAATAGGCATTTTTATAGAATGAAGAAAATAAACACGGCCAAGGGATTTACTGTCGGTATTAAAGGGAAGCTGGGGTAGAAAGCAGAGCAACAACTACCCTCTCATTAGGTGCCAGGTAAGAAGGCAACACTTTTTGTTCATCTTTCCTTATTTAGGGAAGTGCCACTGAAACACAGCCCAGTTGTGGTTTGGCATCTCCTTTTCTTTTTTTTTTGAGACGGAGTCTCGTTCTGTCACCCCGGCTGGAGTGCAGTGGCATGATCTCGGCTCACTGCAACCTCTGCCCCGCCGGGTTCAAGCAATTCTCCTGCCTCAGCCTCCCAAGTAGCTGGGATTACAGGAACCTGCCACTGCACCCAGCTAATTTTTGTATTTTTTTTTTTTTTTTTGAGACAAAGTCTCGCTCTGTTGCCCAGGCTGGAGTGCAGTGGCCGGATCTCAGCTTACTGCAAGCTCCGCCTCCTGGGTTTACGCCATTCTCTTGCCTCAGCCTCCCGAGTAGCTGGGACTACAGGCGCCCGCCACCTCGCCCGGCAAGTTTTTTGTGTTTTTTTAGTAGAGACGGGGTTTCACTGTGTCAGCCAGGATGGTCTCAATCTCCTGACCTCATGATCTGCCCGTCTCGGCCTCCCAAAGTGCTGGGATTACAGGCTTGAGCCACCACGCCTGGCCAATTTTTGTATTTTTAGTAGAGATGTGGTTTCACCATCTTGGCCAGGTTGGTCTTGAACTCCTGACCTCGTGATCCACCCACCTCAGCCTCCCAGAGTGCTGGGATTACAGGTGTGAGCCACCGCGCCCAGCCTCAGCATCTTCTTTTCTAATCCTAGGTGTTTGTACAGCTGTTTATGAATTTAGGAAAAACCGCTTAACTTCTACATGCCATAATTCAGCAGTTCATAGGTTTATTCTGAAGAATATCCAGTATACAAAAGGTTAACATAAACAATACTTTTTTTTTTAAATTAAAAGTTTGCATTTTGCAACTGTTAAAAACATCAAACACCAATCAATTCTAAACAGAATCTCCACGTCTTGTTTTGCAGTTGTGAGATCTGGCTATGTTGCCCAGGAGGATCTTGAATTCCTGGGGTCTCAAGTGGTCCTCCTACCTCAGCCCCCCAAAGTGTTGGGATTATGGGTATGAGCCACTTTTCCAGACCTCCTATTTCTTAACATATGGTTTACTTAAATAACTGCTTTTCAGATTCATTTTGAATACATGTAAATATCCCTGAGTACTAATGAGGAACTATAGCACCAACTTCAGGTGGGAAGCTGGCTTTACAACTAAAAACAAAAAGTGGCCCTTGGGACGGAGGGAATTCGAAATGGGAAAGTAACTATGTAATGTGATGTAATAAATATCTAATCTCTATCTAGCCTGTCTGTGAAATGCCATTTGCTAGGGTTTGAACCGGTCCCCTAAAGTTCATGTGTTGGAAACTTAACCCCAATGGAACTGTGTTGGGAGGCGAGGCCTAGCAAGAGATGATTAGGTCACGAGGGCCGTGCCTCCACGAACTGATTAATGTCATTATTGCAGCAGTGGATTTGTTATCCTAGGTGTGTCAGTTATAAGTGTGTCTGGGCCAGACGTGGTGGCTCACGCCTGTAATCCCAGCACTCTGGGAGTCCAAGGCAGGCGGATCACGAGGTCAAGAGATCGAGACCATCCTGGCCAACATGGTAAAACCCCGTCTCCACTAAAAACACAAAAATTAGCTGGTCGTGGTGGTGCGTGCCTGTAGTCCCCGCTACTTGGGAGGCTGAGGCAGGAGAATTACTTGAATGTGAGAGGCAGAGGTTGCAGTGAGCCGAGATCGTGCCATTGCGCTCCAGCCTGAGCGACGAGCAAAACTCCGTCTCAAAAAAAAAAAAAAAAAGAGTCAACTACTATTGAAGGCCAGATACTTTTTTAGATTTGTTATAAAAAATATGGCGCTCTTTTCATGTCTACCCAAATCACAAATCCATTTGCCCTACGATCTAGCAGTCCCATGTATCCTACAAATACAATTTCAAACAAATGAAATGACACATAGGAGGTTATCACTGCACCTTTTTTTTTTTTTTTTTTTTTGAGATGGAGTCTCGCTCTGTTGCCCAGCCTGGAGGGCAATGGCGCAATTTCGTCTCACGGCAACCTCTGCCCCTCTGGTTCAAGTGATTCTCCTGCTTCATCCTCCCGAATAACTTGGACTACAGGTGCGTGCCACTACGCCTAGCTAATTTTTTGTATTTTTAGTAGAGATGGGGTTTCACTGTGTTAGCCAGGATGGTCTTGATCTCCTGATCTCGTGATCCACCCGCCTCAGCCTCCCAAAGTGCTGGCATTACAGGCGTGAGCCACTGTGCCTGGCCGACTGCATCATTATTTGTAACAGCAGAAGACTGGAAACAGGCCATGTATCCATATATAAGAGACTAGTATGGCCAAGTACCCACATACAGGAGAATGAGATGGAAAGATCCTTAAGTTATACTGTGAAGTAAAAGAAACTGCAGAATAGTATGTCTAGAATGCTATCTTTTGAGCTAGGGGATGGAGGTCGTAAGATAAGAATAAATATAGTCCTCCTTGCTTGTATTTCCGAAAAGAAACACTGGAAGAGTATACAGAAAGACTTGTAAGAGTAGTGACCTATGAAAGGTGGGTTTTGGGAGAAGAGAAAGATAAAGACCTGCATGGGAGTAAGATGTCTCAATATATGACACTTTTTAAATAGTGTTTTAAAACTTCTGCAATGTGTATAAACAATACCTATTCAAAAAAAAATATTAAATTTAAAATTAAGAATACAGTCACTTCCTTGGTTTTCTTAAGAACCCTGTGTTTTATAACTTTTGTACTCTGACTCACAGACACACATTATCAATACATTATATATATATATACATACACACATATATATTTATTTATTTATTTTTTTGAGATGGGGTCTCTCTTTGTCGCCCAGGCTGGAGTGCAGTGGCAGAGTCTTGGCTCACTGCAACCTCCACCTCCAGGGTTCAAGCAATTCCCCTGCCTCAGCTTCCCGAGTAGCTGGGACTACAGGTGCCTGCCACCATGCCCAGCTAACTTTTTGTGTTTTTAGTAGAGACGGGTTTCACCATGTTGGCTAGGCTGGCCTTGAACTTCTGACGTTGTGATCCACCCACCTCGGCCTCCCAAAGTGTTGGGATTACAGGCGTGAGCCACTGCACCCGGCAAATACATACTATATTTTAACACCAGTTTTTTTATTATACACACAGATAAAAAGGCCTGGGTATACAATCACGTAATCATGGGTGTGGAACATATTTTCTTGCTTCTAAGAAAAAGAATACAAAAGGTTAAAACCTGAGGGAAAAAAAAATCCAAGTCACTCATTTTAGTTAAATATCTTTTAGTCCTATTTAAGTTATTAAATCCTACATATCAACATAGGAAGGAAACATGCTTTTGTAACTGCACTGATTTCCTCAGATGCAAAACAGAAGTTTGTCTCTTTTGAGACAAGGTCTGGGTCTGTCACCGAGCTGGAGTACAGTGGCATGAACATGGCTCACTGCAGCCTCGACCTGCTGGGCTCAAGCAATCTTCCTGCCTCAGTCTCTCAAGTGGCTAGAACTACAGGCGCACACCACCATGCCTACTACTTTTTAAATTTTTTTGTACAGATGGGGTCTGTTTCCCAAGCTGTTCTCAAACTTCTGGCCTCAAGTGATCCTCTTGCCTCAGCCTCCTGTGTAGGTGGGGCCACAGGCCTGCACCACCACACTAGGCTAATTTTAAAATTTTTGTAGAGATAGGGGGTCCTGCTTTGTTGCATAGCTGGAAAGTTTTTTCTCTTAAAGCAGATGACCCTAGAACTAAACTTCCCACCAGTGGCCTTTATAAGCAAAGACAAAGGAATGAAAACATAAACAGAGAGGCTCAGTAGTCAAAAGGAAATGCCAAACTCCCACACAACTTCTAAGGACCTTTTCCCATTTATCTGAAACAGTGACCTTCATTTCCTTCTACCCTGAAACTTAGTAAAAACAAGACACAAAAAATTGGCGTGGTAGCTCAAGCCTGTAATCTCAGTTTTTGGGAAGCTGAAACAGAAAGATCGCTTGAGCCCAGAAATTCAACACCAGTCTGGGCAACACAGGGAAACTCCATCTCTATTTAAAAAAAGAAAAAAACAAAACAAAACAAAAAACAAACAAACCCTGTTTTCTCCCACAGGGTTATTAACATTTCTAGTGCATCAACTATGTGCGAGACATTTTATATACATTATCTCACCTATTCTTCACAAAGCGACACAAGGAAGTAACATCACGGTTTCACAGGTGCAAAAACAGATGTTGACAAGGGATTTGTGCAGGGTTCCAGTGCATGTAAGTGACAGAGTCTGATTGTAAAACCCAAGCTCTTTGCAGTGAATCTGTAACGTCACTTCCCTGGTATACGTTAAACTGGCTCAGTAGATGGGCCTGTTAACCCTGCCATAGTACTGCTGAGTTGATACTGTTAGATTTGATTCTTTTCTAATATGGACATTTCCAAACACACACAAAAGTTAGAAGAGTACATACAAAACAAAACATAACTGCAATACTTCTATCTCACCTAAAAAATATTACTTCCTTAATATTAGTGTTCAAATTTCCCCTAAATATATCAATTTTATTAAGTTGTAATAGCTCTTTATATATTCTGGATACTAGATTTTTGTCAAATATGATCTACAAATATTTTCCTCCATTCTGTGGGTTCTCTTTTCATTTTTTTTTCTTTTTTAGAGACGGGGGTATCACTGTGTTGCCCAGGCTGAGGTACAATGACATGATCATAGCTGATTGTAGCCTCGAACTCCTGGGATCAAATGATCCTCCTACCTTAGCCTCCCAAGTAGTTGGGATTACAGGAGCAAGCCACTGTGCCTGGCTCTCTTTTCACTTTCTTGATGACAACCATTACAGCACTTATGTTTCAAATTCTCATCACGTCCAATTTATCTACTTTTCTTCTGTTGCTTGTGCTTTCAGTGTCTGATCTAAGAATCCTTTGCCATGCTGCCTTAATTACATGGCTTTGTAGTAAGCTTTGAAATAAAAAAAATTTGAGTCTCCCTACTTTGTTATTTTTCAAGACTGTCTTGGCTACTCTAGGTCCCTTATAATTCCATATGAAGTTTTAATTTTTTTTTTTTTCGAGACAGGGTCTTACTATGTTGCCCAGGCTAGAGTGCAGTGGCTATTCAAAGACACAATCCCACTACTGATCAGCATAGGAGTTTTGACCTGCTCCATTTCCAATCTGTATTGGTTCACCCCTCCTTAGGCAACCCAGTGGTCTCCTGCTCCTGGGAGCCCAGAACTCCTGGGTCCTCCAGCCTCAGCCTCCCAAGTAGCTGGGACTACAGGTGCAGGCTATGCTGCCTGTCTCCATATGAATTTTAAATCAGTTTGTCAACTTCTACAAAATCAGCAGCTGGGACCCTAATAGAGATTGTGCTTAATCTGTAGATCAATTTGCAGAGTATTCCATCTTAATAATATTAAGTCTTCTGATTCATGAACATGGCATGTCTTTCCATTTATTTACATCTTCTTTCATTTCTTTCAATGTTCCGTAGTTTTCAAAGCGTAAGTTCTGCACTTACTTATATATTGAGATGGAGTTTCGCTCTTGTTGCCCAGGCTGGAGTGCAGGGGTGAGATCTCGGCTCACTGCAACCTCCGCCTCCCAGGTTCAAGTGATTCTCCTGCCTCCGCCTCTCGAGTAGCTGGGATTATAGGCGCCCGCCACCATGCTCAGCTAATTTTTGTATTTTTAGTAGAGACGGGGTTTCACCATGTTGGCCAGGCTGGTCTCAAACTCCTGACTTCAGGTGATCTACCCGCCTTGGCCTCCCAAAGTCTGTGACTACAGGCCTGAGTCACCATGCCCAGCCTTCTGCACTTCTTTTGTTAAATTTATTCCTAGTTATTTTATTGTTTTTGATGCTAAGTGGAAGAATTTTTAATATTTCATTTTAGTATTGTTCACTGCAAGTGTATAAAAATATTATTTTTTAATATATTGATCCTGGATTCTCCAACCTTGCTGAACTTGTGAGTTCTAATAGAGGATAACCTAGGATTCTCTACAGACAAGATCATGTCGTCTGCAAACAGAGGCAGTTTACTTCTTCCTTCCCAATATGGATTCCTTTTATTTTTCTTGCTTAATTGCCCGGTCTAGAACATCCAGCACTATGTTGGACAGGAGTGGAGTGGGAACACAGCCTTGTCTTGTTGCTGATCTTAGTGGAAAAAATCCAGTCTTTCACCACTAAATATGCTATCTGTGAGTTTTTCATCTATGGTCTTTACCATGTTGAGGTAGTTTCCTTCTATTGTTGCTATTATTCCTTCATTTGTAGAGTGTTTTTTTTTTTTTAATCATGAAAGAGTGTTACATTTTGCTAACATGTTTTTTCTGCACCTACTGAGAAAACCATGTGGTTTTCTCTTTTATTCTATCGACGTGATATATTATATTGATGTGCAGTTGTTTTTTTTTTTTTTTTTTTGAGACGGAGTCTTGCTCTGTCGTCCAGGCTGGAGTGCAGTGGTGTGATCTTGGCTCACTGCAGCCCCTGCCTCCCGGGTTCCAGTAATTCTCCTGCTTCAGCCTCCTGGATAGCTGGGATTACAGCCATGCACCACCATGCCCAGCTAATTTTTGTATTTTTAGTAGAGACACGGTTTTGCCATGTTGGTCAGGCTGCTCCTGAACTCCTAACCTCAAGTGATCCACCCACCTTGGCCTCCCAAAGTGCTAGGATTACAGGTGTGAGCCACTGCGCCTGGCCTGATATGCAGATGTTAAACCAACTTTTCATTCCCCAGAAGACTCTGACTTCCTCATGGGTACTGCATTCAGTCTGGTTGTAGTTTGTTTTTTGTTGAGGATTTTTGTGTCCATGTTCCTAAGAGATCCTGGTTGGTATATAGTTTTCCTTCTTTTTTTTTTTTAGAGGCAGACAGGGTCTTACTCTGTCGCCAAGACTGGAGTACAGTAGCACGATTATAGCTCAGTGGAGTCTTGAACTCCAGGGCTCAAGTGACGCTTATGCCTCATCCTTCCAAAGTGTTGAGCTTACAGGCGTGAACCACTGCGTTTAGTCATTTTCATTTCTTCTGATGTCTTTTGTTTGGTTTTGTTATCAGGATAATACTGGCCTCATACAATGAGTTGGAAGTACTCCCTCCTACTCCATTTTTTAAAGTAGTTTGGGAAGAATTTCCTCTAGCCCTGTCAAGCAATAATCTACTTTCTGTTCTATGGCTTTACCTGTTCTGGACCTTTTATATGAAGGGAATCATACAATATATGTCCTTTTGTGTCTGGCTTCTTTTACTTAATGTTTTCAAGGTTCATCCATGTTGTTGTATGGACCAGTACTTCATTCCTTTTTATGGCCAATTAACATTGCATGGAAGGACGTTTCGTTTATCCATTCATGAGCTAGACATTTGAGTTGTTTCCACTATTTTGGCTGCTATGAATAATGTTGCTATGAACATGAGTGTACAGTTGTTGCATGAATATGCTTTCCATTCACTTGGGTATACACTTACGAGTGCAACTGCTGGGTCACAGAATCACTGTTTAACTTTTTGAGGAACTGTCAATCTGTTTTCCAAAGCAACTGCATCACATTACATTCCCACAAGGGTTCCAATTTCTCCACATCCTTAATAACACTCATTATTGTCTTCTTGATTCTAGTCATCCTAGTGGGTGTGAAATGGCACCTTTTTGTGGTTTTGATTTGTATTTTCCTAATGACTAATGATGCTGAACATCTTTCCGTGTACGCTTATTGGCCATTTGTGTGTCTTCTTTGGAGAAATGTCTAACAACTACATTGTTATTTTAAAATTGAATTATTAGCCTTTATTAAGTTACAATAGTTCTTTATAGATTCTGGATATTATACCCCTAACAGATATGTGATTTGCTAACATTTTCTCATTCTGGGAGTTGTCTTTTCACTTTTTTTTTTTCCTTTCGGTAGAGACAGGGTCTCACTATGTTGTCCAGGCTGGTCTTGAACTCATGGCCTCAAGCAGTTCTCCTGCTCTGGCCTTATAGGCATAAGTTCTGGGATTATAGGCATAAGCCACCATCCCCAGCTCACTTTCTTGACAGTGTCCTTTCAGCCTAACAGTTTTTAAACTTTGGAGAAGTCCAGTTTATCTATATATTTTTTTCACTTTGGTTTTTGCGTTTTTGGTGTCATGTCTGAAAAACCACTCAGATTCAGTCATGAAATTTTAAATCTGTATTTTCTTCTAAGAGTTTTACAGTTTTAGACATCATATTTAGGTCTTTGATCCATTTTTAATTTTTGTAAACGGTATGAGGTGGAGATTCCATGAACTCTTTAAAACCCCATCGATTCCTTTTTTTTTTAAATTTGAGATGGAGTCTTCCTCTATCGCCCAGGCTGGAGTGCAGTGGTGTGATCTCAAATCAGTGCAACCTCTACCTCCTGGGTTCAAGCCATTCTCCTGCCTCAGCCTCCTGAGCAGCTGGGATTACAGGCGCCTGCCACCACACCATGCCTGGCTCTAGAAGCCTGATTTTTAAGAAATTTTTAAAACAGACTGGGCGCAGTGGCTCACGCCTATAATCCCAGCACTTTGTGAGGCTGAGGCAGGCAGATCACTTGAGGTCAGGGGTTCGAGACCAGCCTGACCAACATGGCAAAACCCTGTCTTTACTAAAAATACAAAAATTAGCTGGGTGTGGTGGCACATGCCTGTAATCCTAGCTACTCAGGAGGCTGAGACAGGAGAATCGCTTGAACCCAGAAGGCAGATGCTGCAGTGAGCTGAGATCGAACCACTGAACTTCAGCCTGGGTGACAGAGGTGGACTCTAAAAAAAAAAAAATTCAGACAAAGCAAGACAGGGAGTCCTTTTACCCAACTCAGTTTGGTAAAATAAGGTGCAATTCCTTATAAATATTTTGAGTTATTACCTCTAAAAAGAACATTAAAAATTGGTTTTGTTTCATCTATAAAATGACAAAATTATCTCCAATCTTTGTGGGATTCCATACAAGGCATGGATGCCACAGAACACAGCTTTTATAGTAGTGATGCAGAAAAAAATAAATTCAAAACACAGCGGTCATTTGTACATATAAAGTCCTCAACATCATTTCTCTCTCAGAGACACACAGTGAAATGGGGTTAAGATAATTACCCTGAATAGGGTCCATAAATAGACAACGTGTAGAAGAGCCCAATGTTACGGAAACCTACAAGCTGTAAATGAATATCCCTGCTACACTTGGCATGCTAGTGGTGACAGGCAAATCATGCTAGTTATGACAGTCAAATTTTAGGAAATTCCAAACACTGTGACACATAAGAAGGTACTCACAGGAGACAGCTTCTGGATGAGGTCATGGGCAACATGGACAAGGTTCTTGTCTTCATGGAGACATTTCTGAAACTTTTTGCTCTCCTCATCTTCTAAAAGATCAAAATCAATGGCAGCATCCAGTAAAGCCTGAATTAACCCCTTCCAGGATTTGAGGGCTGGAACTTGAGGCGCAACTGCAGCACTAATGCCTGTTCCAATCACTAGCACAAGTTCTCGAGGCTTCTTAGTTTTTAAGCTTGGAAGCAGCTTCCTATAAAAGCAAAACAAATGAGAGGACTGGAATATCCCATAGATATGAGGCACAGAGACTGTCTGACTAAGGTTATAGTTTTTAGCTAACTTTTATAGTTGCAAAGAAGATCAATAGCAGTTTTTGACACTTTTCCAAAGCAGTTTAAAGAAAACAACCAGAATATTATGTCAGTGCTTGCTGAAAAACAAGTCATAAACCTATTTCAGGAATCCCAAAACCAATCTTAAAATCAGTTTTCTCCTTCTTAGTCCTCTCAACCTAAGAAATTCCACAATATTAGGAAAAGATCCAAACAGATTACAGCTCAGCTGAGTTCTGCCAACTAAATTATATTTTAAACCAATATTAAATTTCAAAAGAAGACATTTGATTTGTACTCTAGAAAAAGAGAAAAGAACCCCAGGACAAATTAAGTTCCTATTATTGAGAAATGTAAAACACAAGGGGAAAGAAAGGCAATAAAAAATTTAACTCGGAATTTTGTAAACATTAACCTATGGCAAAAAAAAAAAAAAAGTGGCCAATAGAATTCTAAAAACACAGGAGCCCTACATATCTAAATAAAGACTTAGCTATTCAAGGGGCATGACAAAAGGTGAAAAACATTCCTTTCTTACCATGATAAGCAGAGATAGACTTCTCTGTTCTGAGGCCCATATGTGAGATAGCATGGGTGCTAGTTTTTGTTTTTGTTCCCCTCTCTTTCATTCTGGAGACTATCCCCGCTTGAAATATGTTCCTTCACTTTAATTTTTGCTGATGGTATGTTCCCTTCCCCCGAAAACGGATTCTCCCCAACCTTTTTGTCTAAATAATAAAATGGAGAGGATCAGCATTTTGGCATAATCCAAGAAAGGAATAGCACTTTCAAGCCTCGGGAAGCTTAGTTTTGGGGACACAGCCTCTAAAATTGCTTTCCCTATTCTGAGCTTCTGCATTTAGTCATTCAACAAACACGAAAAACCAAGGCTGGGTGCAGTGGTTCACGCCTGTAATCCCAGCACTTTGGGGGGCCAAGGTGGGTGGATTACTTGAGGTCAGGAGTTCAAGCCCAGCCTGGCCAACATGGTGAAACTCCGTGTCTACTAAAAATACAAAAATTAGCTGGGTCTGGTGGCGCACACCTGTAGTCCCAGCTACTCGGGAGGCTGAGGCAGGAAAGAAAAACCTGTATGTACCAGGCAGTACAGGAGTCACTAGTGATGTATCCAGGAACAAAATGGAGTCCCTGATCTTGAAAGGTTAGTCTACTAGAAAAGACATTAATAATAGATGTTAGAAGCAAATGATGAAAAATGAGTTTCAGTTCAGAGCAATCAAGATAGTGAAGCATAGCAAATCCACATACACAAATATACACGCACATAGAAAATTTCTAGGATTCACAAGATCTATAAACAGTGGTTAAATGAGGATGAGGAGAATAAGGACTTTTTACTTTTCATTTTATACTGTTGTACTGTATGATTTTTTAAATATATAACATATAGATTCAAACTATAATTCTTCCTAATTAAGACTTTCAATTCAGCTAAGTGTAGTGGTTCACGCCTGTAATCTCAGCACTTTAGGAGGCTGAGCTTGAGCCCAGGAGTTCGAGATTAGCCTAGGCAACTTAGTGAGAACCCATCTCTACCAAAAAAAAAAAAAAAAAAAAAGAAAAGAAAAAGAAAATTAGGCATGTCCCAGCTAAGTGGGAAGCTAAGTTCACAGGGGGATCACTTGAGCCCAGGAGGTGGAGGTTACAGTGAGCTGTGTTTGTGTCACTGCACTCCAGCCTGGGTGACAGAACAAGACCCTGTCTCCAAAAAAAAAAAAAAAAAAAAAAAAAACAACTTCCAGTTAAAAACAAAACATTTAACAATTGTGTTTTATTACCGGTTCTTTGTAAACCACTAAATAACAGTTATTTATTTATTTTTTTTAGCAGGTATACATACCTAAAAAGTAGGTTAGGTAAAGATGACGGCAGACAACAGAGGTCAAAGGGCAACAGAATTTTACAAGTTGTAATGCAAAGGCTGAGACCCTTGGTAGAATTTTGGGAATGTTCACATACATCTGAAGGTAGAGGGACTGGTGGGGCTAAAACAGGAGAATCGGTTACAAGCCTTTAAGGGCTGCAACTTTAAGGAGACTAGAGGTTTCCCTCCTGCAGAGGCTGACCAGAGGACTGTGTCTGAGAACAATGCACGCAGCTGAGGCTGCCTCTGGGGAAAGAGAGTTGGGGGAAATCTTATATTTTATACACAGACTTTTCCCCAGAGGCAGCTTTTCAGACTCTAGGAATCAACCCTGTACCTGCACCCCTATCCCCCATCCAGTTAGGAAATGAGGAGGATTCCTCTTTCAGGAAAATGGCCAGTATGAGACGAAAAACCTGCAGATTCTGATAGGTGAGAATTCCTTAACTCTACGTAGAGTCTGGGACCAAGCTCCTTACGTACACACAGATTCTCCAATTGGCTTTTTTTTTTTTTTTTTTTTTGAGATGGAATCTCACAATCTCGGCTCACTGCAACTTCCGCCTCCCGAGTTCAAGTGATTCTCTTGCCTCAGCAACCTGAGTAGCTGGGACTACAGACACGCACTACCACGCCAAGCTAATTTTTGTATTTTTAGTAGAGACAGGGTTTCACCAGGTTGGCCAGGCTGGTCTCAAACTCCTGACCTCAAATGATCTGCCCGCCTTGGCCTTCCAAAGTGGTGGGATTACAGGCGTGAGCCACAGCGCCCGGCCTCTTCCATTGGCTTTTTAGTGTTTTCTCTTAAAAATGGACAGACAAACAAGGGTCACCTCATATTTGAGGAAAGCCCCCGACATAACAGTTATACCAAACAAACTAGCAGGTAGAGAGAAATCTGAAGGACACAAGAGATAGTATGGGAAGGAGAAAAAAATTTTAAAAGGAAACAATGACATCTTCACATAGATTTTTAAACATTGTCCATGTGGGGTGGCTCATGCCTGTCATCCCAGCACTTTGGGAGGCCGAGGCAGGTGGATCACTTAAGGTCAGGTGTTCAAGATCAGCCTGGCCAACATGGTGAAACCCTGTCTTTATTAAAAAAATAAAATAAAAATTAGTCGGGTGTAGTAGTGCACGTTTGCAATCCCAGCTACTCAGGAGGCTGAGGCAGGAGAATTGCTTGAACCTGGGAGACAGAAGTTGCAGTGAGCTGAGACTGCACCATTGCACTCCAGCCTGGGCAACAGAGTGAGACTCCATCTCAAAAAAAAAAAAAAAAAAAATGCATCTGTGAAACAGAGTGCAATGAAAAATGAATAAACAGAAAGACTTCACAAATTAAAAATATAGCAACAGAAATGTTTAAATCCATAAGATAAAACAGAGAACCTCCGAGAAAGCAAAATTTTAAAACACAAAATGGGGGAAAAAATCAAGAAACACATAAGAAAATTAGAGACTTAATACAAGAAGTCCAGTATCTGAATAACAAGAGTTTTTAAAAAATACGGAATAGATAAAACATTGTAATGGAAAGTATCAAAAAAGTAATACAAGTCAACTTCTCCAAAGTGAAGGTACTAGTTGCCACCTTTAAAGAGCTGCCCCGTGTCCAGATTCGTATGAGAAGACACATCACTGTGAAATTTCAGGCTACTGAAAATAAAATAATGATCCTTATAAGCTTCTAATGAACAACAACAACAAAAACAAAAACAAAACAGGGAAAGAGGTCATATAATACAAAGGATTGGGAATCAGAACAGAGTGGCTATTTTGGCAGGAATACTTAGATGTTAGCAGAGAATGCATGAGAGATACCAAAGATTCTATACTCAGTTAAACCATCGAATGTAAGTGTATGATAAAGACATTTTCAAATACGTCCAAAAAGTTTTCTCCTATGGGTCCTCACTTAGGAGGCTATGCAAGGATACGCTTCAGGAAAATGAAAGAGTGCACCAAAAAAGAAGACACGAGATTCAGCAAACAGAGAATCAATACAGGAGAGATGTAAAGGAAATTATCAGGATGATGGGAAAGGGAAATAGCAAGTATCAGCAATGCAACAGAGGCCTGGAAAACAAGTGTCCAGAGTGGACTAGCGTCCAGAGGGAAGAATCCATGACACGAACTAGCAAGTTATCGGTGTGTTTCAGTATAGCTAGGAGATTTATTCTTCTGTCAGAGCATGTGAGAATACACTGAAAGCAAACAAACAAAAAAGACAGTCTTTAACGACGTAAGCGAAAAAAATGGGCAAGAAAGGAAATATGATCGTCACGCATTAGGCTCAGCTACGAATACTATTTATACAGTCATAATAAATGTAAATATTAAAAGTGGATTGAACCAAACACTGTGATACAAACATACAAGAACATGGGGAGAGTGTGTGGAGTGGCAATCCAGGGGGAGGAGTCATGACAGCAAAGCAGTCCTTATATTCCATACTCGGAAATCAACAAAACTGAAAAACTAAAAAGCAGCAATATATATAGTATTTTAAAACATGGATGTCAACATTAGAAGAAACAGATAAAGCTGAAAGTAATTATCTCTGAAGAAGGGTGGACTCTGAAATACTGATTTTAAAAATTATGTACCTGTATTGCCTTTGATAAAAAATAAAAATTAAATCCAAAATAAAAATAATTTAATTTTTAGTATGAAGGTCAATACTGATTAGTGAAAACAACTGACATAAAAGGTATAAGTTGGCTACTTTTCTTTCTCTCCCACTAATGGTAATTTACTCTGCTCTCTGATTCCCTTTTCTTGTTTACCTGGGCTTTTTGGTGGGGGGTGCGCCATCACTGAAGAATCCAAAAATCTCGTCTATATCAGAGGCCTGGCTCCCTGTAGAAGCCATCCAGTTTCTAAAATAGATTAAACACCACGGACCACAATTAGATCTGTAAAATATACCATTCAAAATAGCACATACATTAAACAGTTTTAAAAAGCTGTATACCCTTAAAGGTGCTTTGGAGGTACCCCTACTTAACAGAAATTTGTTAATTAATGAACATTCCAAACAAGGAACTAAATTAAATTAGTCTAAAAGACTATTTGGTGTTCCATACTACCATCTTGCTTCTGTTTCTGAAGGCCTGCCCCCAAGTTCCCACCAAAAACAGTGTCAACTCGTGTCAATTACTGGCCCTCACTTTGTAGAACTTAAGAAAAACCAGTTATTCTTCCACAAGATGGGTTTGCGGAAGACTCAGGATAAAAACCACCCACAGATAAGTGTATTAATAGCCCCCAATTATCCATTTACTCTCAGCTGAAGAAATTACTGAGTCAAGAATAGGACAGTCAATACTAATTTGCTGAATGACATTCTCTGTTGTTGGACAATGGTGACCTCGTAGCCAGTGGGACGTGTCTCTCTAACTGAACATGAAGTGGACTTAAATCAAGCCACTGTGATAACTGGTAAAGGTATTATCAAGCAGATGTATAAAAAATGGCCAATTATGTTCGGGTGCTGGAATAACTGGCAAAAGTAAGTAATTACCACGGATTAGAATGAATACTATAAAGTTCTAACTGCTCAAACTTTAGCAAACTAGTTAAATCTAAAGGCTGTGAATTTAAAAATAGCGATAGTATTTTAAATACACACACAATATAGAAGACAACATACTACCACCGTTTGGGGTGTTTTAGTACATGCCATTGCCAACACATAGAACTGAATTACTAATAATTACTGGAAGTTTACGGTTTTGTTAGAAAGTCCTTTTCTTTTCTTTTTTTTGAGACTGCGTCTTACTCTGTTGTCCAGGCTCCAGTACAGTGGTGCCATCTTGGCTCACTGCAGTCTCGGCTTCCTGGGCTCAAGCCATCAACCCACCTCAGCCTCTCCAGTACCTGGGACTACAGGCACGTGCTACCACATCTGGTGAAATTTTGTATTGTTTGTAGAGAGGGAGTTTTGCCATGTTGCCCAGCTGGTCTCTAACTCTGGAGTTCAAGTAATCTTCCAGCCTTGGCCTCCCAAAATGTTGGGGTTACAGGCATGAGCCACTGCATCCGGCCCAAAAAAGCCTTTTTCTTTATTAAAACATTAAGTTTCTCAATTAATTTTTTGTGGTAAACAGAAGGCTCACTTCCTCACCCCATAGTCCATCACACATAGTGGAATTCTTCTTTAATATAATCATAAGGAAAATAGAAACAATAAAATCATAGTAGAGAGTTAGAAAGTAGATCATGTTTCTAGTCAAATCTTTTGATTCTGTTGATGAGAAAGCTGGAGCTCAGAAGAAGATGGATGAGTCACTAATCTCAGTAAATCCTGCCTTAACTCAACCATGTGGGTTTTTTCTTTTTCTTTTTTTTGAGACGGAGTTTCGCTCTTGTTGCCCAGTCTGGAGTGCAATGGCACCATCTCGGCTCATTGCAACCTCTGCCTCCCGGCAGTTGCTCCCTTCAAGCGATTCTCCTGCCTCAGCCTCCCAAGTAGCTGGGATTTACAGGCATGCGCCACTACGCCCGGCTAATTTTGTATTTTTTGTAGAGACAGGGTTTCTCCATCTTGATAAGGCTGGTCTCAAACTCCTGACCTCAGGTGATCTGCCCGCCTCAGCCTCCCAAAGTGCTGGGATTACAGGCGTGAGCCACCACGCCCAGCCGGGATGTTAGTTAAAAGTATGTATGTTCTTGAAAATAAAGTTAATTAATTTTAAAAAAAAGGTTTGTTTCTAGGCTCTACTCCAAAATTACAGAATGAGATTCTCCAGAATCTTCAGAATCTTCCTTCAAATAGGAAACACCTAAATAAGAAGCAAACTTAATTTTTCTACAATGCAACAATTTTGTTAAATATAGGATGCACATTAGGTATACCATTAAGCCATCTTTCCTTAAGTGTAATAACTTATTACAGTCTAATGACTTCCCAGTTTGCTTATACTAATAGCCAGGTTTTACCTGTCCTTAAAATATTTTTATGAAGTTTTAATTCATGTGAATCACTTCCGATTCTAAAAGTTAACGCTCTAGAATGGTGAACTAGGGATAGAATGTGTTTACTTCTTCCACACACACGAGAACCCATCCGTTTGGGATATACACAAGGAAAAAACTTAGGTGCTTAAGTTCTTTTCTTAAATATGGTTCTACAAACCCATCATCTAAACAGATTACATCCAAGTAAAAACACTATATTGAGAGAGATGAAAGTAAAATGTAGAGGGAATAATGCTTATTAAGTTTTGAAGATGGGTATCTTCAGAATTCAACGCTCAATTCAGTTACTAAACCAGTTTACAAGCTCTTAACTACGTGCTATGGACTACTTATAAACATTAACTCATTAATCTGCATAACACTACGAGGCACTATTGTTACCTTATTTTACAGACGAGAAAACTGAGGCACAGAAAGATCGGGTACGTGGTAGTACCAGTATTCAAACCATGGCAACTCTGCCTCCCAAGTCCAAGTTCTTAACTACACTATTGCTAAACAGGAAATGCTCATTGGAACATTTCAGATTTCAGACTTTTTGGATTAGGGATGCTCAACCATTAAGTATAATGCAAACATTCCCCAAAAAACCCAGAAATCCAAAACACTTCTTTCTGGTTACAAGCATTTCAGATAAGGAATAATTAACCTGTATTAACTTTTCAGCCTTAAAAAAAAAAAAAAACAAAAAAACTTAAAGTCCAAAACTATCAACAATGGAAGTGCCTGCATTCTAGAAAGCAGATTTACCTGAAACAATCCCAAGTAATCCTTAATAGTTGCTTCGTAACTAGCCACTCCATTCATGCAATCTTGGCAGTCAACTACATTCGGAAGCTGGGAAAACTACTTTCTCCAATAACAAGCACTATTTGTTATATACTTCTCACCACCATTTATCTACCAGAGCCTAGATCTGTCCTACCATTTTCTCCTGGAAATGATGTAAGATCGTTTTTGCTGGATTCTATTTCTGCCAGATGGTCAATTCATGACATCTAGACCTGAATACTAAGCTTTCTGACTTATTTCTTTACACAGTCAACTTTTCTGAAGGTCCATTCCATCTATTACTTTAAAAATTTAAATACAGCCAATCGCTTCTGACTGAGAATGTTGAGGGTCTTATTTAGGTACTGAATGAGACGTAGCTCGGTATGCCTGCATTATATCCAATCATACACTCATCCTGTTTTCTAACAGAGAAACATCTTTTCTTTAGCCTAAAGGATGCCTCACATGATACAATCTCACATGTATACCCCAGTGGCATATAAGCATAAACCATACTTTATTCCTTCTAGAGTAGTGTTTTCAGGGGAAAAAAATCAATTTTAGCATGTACCCTAAACAATATACAGTTCTTGCTAAAGAGTTTCAAAGCTAACTTCCCAATATGCATCAACTAGTTCACACTTTAATTTTTTTTATGTGATCATGGTTTGAGTTTTCATTTTTGTGGGACTTGCTATATATAGCAAAAGTGGAAAATGTTCTTCTGTCACAAGAAAACAAAAGTCAATTACCTGTGGCAGTGTCTTCATTACCTTCATCACTGCTAAGCCACTGAGAAATCCTTCAAGGCCAATAGAGTACAGCAAAATAAAAGTCAGATACTTGGTAAAAGCTGAGAAAAGTAACAGCAACCTCATTAATGGAAATGTTAAGGCTGAAGTCTTCATATGAGACAGAACACTTGTACTCTGAAACCTGTCAGCTTGGCAGGAAATACAATGCTTCTATCTCTGGTGGATGAAAAAGGGAAAAGGGCGAGTGTTCTAGAAAAAATCCAGAAGAAACATACTAAAGGGACAAGAGAAAAGGAACTGGTTATCCAAATGAAATTAAGTTTGCACACAGCAGAGGACCTGTGGACTTGAAAACATCAAAGAATCCCAGCAGCTCTCGTTTTCATAGCATCTTGGTGCTAAAAAGATAGCAAGCTCTAGGCTTCCCCTCACTTGAGAATCAGAGTGAGGTCTCCCAGCCCGCCTTCCTCATTCTGAGCTATGTTTCTCCTGTTTGTCCAGTGCATAGTCCTCAACTCAAACAAGTGACATGCCAGAAGGAGCTCAGAGTAATACACTTGGGTATATTAGCAGACAAAATAAATCAAATGGAGAGAGAAATTCTAATGTTTTAAAAAGTATTTTTGCCTGGAAATAAAAGATATACAATTACCAGCTTGAGAAAGTGGTACGTTTCTTGCTGTAAAAGGATCAGAAAGCTTCCTCCACTGCTTTTTAAAAAATAAAAGTGACTGGAATAAAGAATGGTTTATTTCTCTAGCATAAACATAGCAAAGGGGTGACTGGAATAAAGAATGGTTTATTTCTCTAGCATAAACATAGCAAAGGGTTAACTTCATTTCTTAAGGGAAAAGAGTCATCCTCTGACTTGAGAAGAAACCAAACCTTTCTAATTGTGGCTTTTGGACTAATTCCAACACATCTGGGTTTTTAGCAACGATCAGATTTGGGAGGCAGGGAAAGACGCCCGGTGTAAAGTACTACTAAAGAGTTCTCAACAACAAGCTTGTCAGGAGTGAACACATTAAATAAAATCCTAAAGACTTGGCTTGGGTAGTTGATGAATTCAGTTCCATATGTAGACTGCAGACTTTCCCATCAGTGGATAAAGCAAACTCACTGTTTCCTCCATCTCAGCACACAGAGACAGACAGGAATCATGTCTAGCTGTGCCAAGATCTGATTCCTCTGTGGATCCCAGACTTGAAATATTTCCACTATCTATGGTGAACTTGATTGGCTCTTACTTTTATCCCTTAGCATGGCTGAGACCTTCTACCTTCTGTAGAAGGTAGATACAGATAAGATCTGTATCGCACTCATTTCCTGAACATGTGCCTTAACGGAGTCACTGAGGAAATGCCAGACTGATGCCACTTATTCTTGCCATTTCACCAGCAAACAATGACCCCCTATCTGAACAATGTAAGGAGAAAGACCTCACCAGAGGTAAGGTTTCTGAAAGACCGTAAGGATTGAGAAGAATAACCCCAAGGCACGGTGGCTCACGCCTGTAATCCCAGCACTTTTGGAGGCCGAGGTGTGTGGATCATGAGGTCAGGAGTTCGAAACCGGCCTGGCCAAGATGGTGAAATCCCGTCTCTACTAAAAATACAAAAATTAGCCAGGTGGGGTGGCGGGCGCCTGTAATCCCAGCTACTCAAGAGGCTGAGGCAGAAAAAGCGCTTGAACCCGGGAGGCAGAGGTTGCAGGTAGCCGAGATCGCGCCATTGCACCCCAGCGTGGGCGGCAGAGCGAGACACTGTCTCAAAAAAACAAACAAACAAACAAAAGAGCTCAGACGCTGCTTGTTATTTTCTATTATAAAGCCAAAGTAATGCATATGTATAGGGAACAAAAGTGTTTCAAGAAGAAATAATGAACAAATTAAAACCTAATTTGAATTGTACGTTGGTGACTGGAGGTGATGATTTTACCGTGCAAAGAATGACAACTTCTTTCTTTGTCACTACGTTTCCTCCTGTGCAGCTTCTGAGAAGGTATATCCTGAAAATGACGACACATGTTGCTAAGGAAGGAGACTTTAAAAATATCAGATATTTCCCATAAATCAAGTAGTATGATCATACAAACAATTCCATCACATATGGCATAGGTTATTCATTAAAAATGAACCTGAATAACTCTTTAAGGGCAAGGTAACTCTTTAAGGATTCTAGTGAGTCCTTAACAATTGAATTTCTACTACGAAAATAGCATGGGTTATCCATGGGAAATAACCCTCAGTAGCTTAGTTTTATGTCAACAGAGTAAACACAATATACTGTGTACAAATGCAGATTCTTCCAAGTCTGGGGCATTCCAGAAGATGCCATCATTATAAAGGATATTCTCTATGAGTTAAAATTTGAGGCTGGGCACGGGTGGCTCATGCCTGTAATCCCAGCACTTTGGGAGGCCAAGGCAGGTGGATCAAGAGGTCAGGAGTTCAAGACCAGCCTGGCCAAGATGGTGAAACTCCATCTCTACTAAAAACACAAAAAATTAGCCGGGTGTGGTGGTGGGCACCTGTCATCCCAGCTACTCAGGAGGCTGAGGCAGAGAATTGCTTGAATCCGGGAGGCGGAGGTTGCAGTGAGCCAAGATCATGCCACTGCACTCCAGCCTGGGCAACAGAATGAGACTGTCTCAAAACAAAAACAAACAAACAAACAAATTGACAAGTCTTAATAAAGGGGAGATTTTTCTGTTATAAAAATTAAAATGGGCCAGGACTGGCAGCTCACGCCTGTAATCCCAGCACTTTGGGAGGCTGAGGCAGGAGGATCACTTCAGCTCAGGAGTTTGAGACCAGCCTGGCCAACATGGCAAAACCCCATCTCCACACAAAATATAAAAATTAGCCAGGTGTGGTGGCACACACCTGTAATCCCAGCTACTTAGGAGGGAGGCTGAGGCAGGAGAACTGCTTGAACCCAGGAGGCAGAGGTTGTAGTGATCTGAGATTGTGCCACTGCACTCCAGCCTAGATGACAAAGCGAGATCCTGTCTCAAAATAAATAAATAAGTAAATAAAAATAAAAATGTTTAGTAAATATATTCCACTTAATTTTCACCTCTTTTCACTTCCTTGAGGATTTCCAACTTAAATAGAGCTAAAAATTAAAAAAGAGTTTTTTGGCTGGGCGCAGTGGCTCATGCCTATAATCCCAGCACTTTGGGAGGCTCAGGCAGGTAGAATGCTTGAGCTGAGAAGTTCAAGACCAGCCTGAGCAACATGGTGAAACCCCATGTGTACCAAAAATACAAAAATTAGCCATGTGTGGTAGCACATGCCTATAGTGTTAGCTACGCGGGAGGCTGAGTTGGGAGGATCACTGGAGCCTGGGAAGTCAAGGCTGCAGTGAACCGTGATCATGCCGCTGCACTCCAGCCTGGTGACAAAGTGAAAACTCATCTCAAAAATAAACAAATAACAGATTTTGAAAATTAAAAAATTTTACCATTAAAAACCCTCAAGCGTAACTGACTGCAGTGATTAAGTGAATTCACTTGGCTATACCAGGTGAAATATCTTGGAGGTCCCCAGGTAGTGAGCATGGAATCCAAAACCCATCCATAGCAAAACCAAGAACAGGAGGATAAGAAAGATATGAAGTAGATCTGTGTTACAGTTATTCTTAGAATTAAAAGGAAAATAAATATGTTACAACATGAAGAGGTACAAAAAAAATCAAGTTCACTTTATTCATCATTACACAATTACTTTCGAGTTTACATTCAAGTGTACAATATTTTAGACAGACAGGAAGGATTAAAAATAATTGAATACACACCCATCATAGGTTTAGTTACATATAAAACCCAGTTATCAGAGTACGAACTAAAGAGAGATTTAAGAATAAGCTTGTGGCTGGACACAGTGGCTCACGCCACCCAGCACTTTGGGAGGCCAAGGCAGGTGGATCATCTGAGGTCAGGAGTTCAAGACCAGCCTGGCCAACATGGCGAAACCCCATCTCTACTCACAATACAAAAATTAGCTAAGCATGGTGATGGGCGCCTGTAGTCCCAGCTCTTCAGGAGGCTGAGGCAGGAGAATCGCTTGAACCCGGGGGGCGGAGGCTGCAGTGAGATGAGATCACGCCACTGCCCTCCAGCATGGTCGACAGAGCAAGACTCAGTTTCAAAAAAAAAAAAACAAGAGGCTTGTTTTGTTTCAGAGCATTCAATTTCTCTCTTTTAATTTATCATTCAACAGTTAATAAATTTAAGTCTACTAAATGCTAAGTGTTTTGTTGTTGTTGTTGTTTTGTTTTGTTTTTTTTGGACAGGGTCTCACGGTTGCCCAGGCACGATCATGGCTCACTGCAGCCTCGACTACCAGGCTTGGTGATCCTCCCACCTCAGTCTCTCAGGTAGCTGGGACTACAGGCACACACCACTGTGTCTGGCTAATTTTTTGTAGATACAGGGTTTCATCATGTTGCCCAGATTGGTCTTGAACTCCCAGGCTCAAGTGATCCGCCTACCTCAGCCCTCCCAAAGTGCTACAGTTACAGGTGTGAGCCACTGCACCTGGCCAATGCTAGGTTCTTGACCTTCCTATTTAAAATGGCAACAGAACTGGAGGCCAAAAGAGGTAGTTGCATTTCCTTTTAAAGAAAAAGAGAGCAGACTAGTAGATTTGGGGGTGATCTATATGCACTCCTGCCTGGGGGAAGGAGAGAACAGGCCTGTTAAATTTCTCAAGGGCCTTTCTAATTCACAAAGATATGAACTTGTACCATGTTCCTTTTTGGCTATGAGAAGAATGTGGACTATTTTTTGCCTCAGAAAGTCAAAGATCCATGCTTCTGAACATTTTCTTTAGTAATTTTTTTTTTTTTTTTTTGAGACAGAGTCTCACTCTGTCACCCAGGCTGGAGTGCAGTGGTGCAATCTCAGCTCACTGCAACCTCTGTCTCCTGGGTTCAAGCAATTCTCCTGCCTCAGGCTCCCAAATAGCTAGGATTAAAGGTGCCCACCACCACGCCCAGCTAATTTTTGTATTTTTAGTAAAGACAGGGTTTCACCATGTTGGCCAGGCTGGTCTCGAACTCCTGACCTCAAATGATCTGCCCGCCTTGGCCTCTCAAAGTGCTGGGATTACATGTCTTTAGTAATCTGACTTCACTCCAGCCTCATGGAAAACGAAGCTGGAAACAACGAACAGCAACTCACAGAAGAGGATTCAAACTGACCAACCATGACAAATTGGGAAAGGAATCAATCTGAAGCTTAAGAAACTACAAAACGATACTCTACGTATCAAAAATAAAATTCAGAAACAACATGGGAAAGGATTAGCTGCGGGCAAGTATTACTGGAACAACTCTAGCGATGTCACGGGAGAAACTGGGTGTGGCTCTTTATAAAAAGTATTGTGCATCTGAAACAAAGACAGTGCTGATGATCGACACCCACAGAACACACGTGATGTACACACAACTTGGGCAATATTCTACTATAATGGGCATTGATTATGGCCTTATGAAAGTAGTGTGCCAAATTTAAGATTGGAAACTTAGGGAACAAATGGAAAATTTCACTGCATCAAAGAACAGAAAATGTGGATTGCTAAATAAAAAATTGAAAAGGATTTGGTGCTACTGAGCTCAAAAGAAAGAAGGGACCTGAGAAAAGCTGCTCTTAAAGGGCAGTTCTCCCTAAGCCCGCAATCGCTGCCTCTCTTAAGATGCCAAGTGCACTTGGCATCTTTGCCATCCTCTGCTGCAACGAAGAGCCTTTTGGCTTCTAATCTGGAGATCTAGAAATTGGAATGGCAAAAGTCTTCAGTTTCTTATGCACATAAAAGAGATCTTGTTTGCTCAGCTGCCCTGTGAACTGAATTTAAGGAACGTTTGCATTATTCTGGAATTACCTAATTTGAGTTAAGACATGAGTCTGGGTGTTTATAGGTTACCATCTGCAGAACATTCATGGGATGGGAGTTCTCTGCCTAATTATTCATTTGTTTTGGTTTATGAGCTTTTTGAAATTGACTGAGGAGAAACACATTCCTAGAAAGCCAAGATATTCTCACATTCCCTCCCTCCAGCCCCACTGGCCTCTCCACTGTTCCTCAAACAGGCCTGGTACACCCGACCTTGGGGTTTTCCTTTGTATAGATCGTTCCTTCTGCCTGGAATGCTCTTTCTCCATGTGTCTGCACAGGTTTCCGTGCCTTTACTCAGATTGTACCTTCTCAATGACGCTACTCTAACCATCCTATTTAAAATTATACCCCCCACCATGTTAGCTGTTCTACTTTTTATTTCATAGTACACAGCACCCTCTAACATACCAATTATTTATTAGCAGTATGACTCTACGGGGTCTCGCTCTGTCACCCAGGCTGGAACGTGGTGGTGTGATCATGGCTCACTGTAGCCTTGACCTCCACGGGGCTCAAGCAATCCTCCCATCTTAGTCTCCCAGTGCTACAGGTACATGCCACCATCCCCGGCTAATTTCTTTGTATTTTGTAGAGACGGGGTTTTGTCATGTTGCTCAGGCTGGTCTCAAACACCTGGGCTCAAGCAATCTGCCGGCCTCAGTCTCCCAAAGTGCTGGGATTAGAGGCGAGAGTCACTGGACCTGGCCCAAATTATATTTATTGTTATCTGCCTCCTCCACTGGAATGTAAGTCCCCCAAAGACAGGGACCCTTTGCCTGTTTAGTTTATGGATGTAGGCCAAGAGTGCAGAACAGTGCCTGGCACACGGTAGGCATTCAGATATTTATTTCACAAACTAACTCAAACAAAAGAACACCCTGTAACTGCTTTTAATAAGGACCAGAAAAAGCCATTTAGCTTTTAAATGGAACAAATGGGAAAACTGTATACACAAATAAATCAATATTCAGACTATCATGTTTTAGATACGCCAGTGGTACTAGCAGTGAATGTAATCTGATCCTAGACGGCAGAAGAAAACTTCAACTTAAGGTTCCAAGACCATTGTTTGGCACCAGAACATTTTATATATAAATAACTTTATAAC